GATGTGAGTTAATTAAACCTATTTATGATATCCAGCCTATAAAATTCCTCCTCATTAGGCATGGCAACATTGTTGGGGAGAGTTTTTTACATGAGAGCATTGAACATTGGTTGCGGGAGATTTCAACTAAGGAGCATTGAACATTGGGTCAAGAGCAACAGAATTGAGAGAGACACCGCATATTCCTCCAAAACTTTAAAGTGATAGGTGTATGGGTTCTCCCACTTATAAATGTTCAACTTTCCACATTTATAATCAATGTAGGACTTAAACTCGCATTTGATATGTCGCTCTCAACAAACATAACTGATACCCGCGAGAACCCACTCGAACCTGTCCCGGATTTGACGGTGAAAATCCGCTTTGGTTGAGTTTGAGTTTTCTCCAATTATAAAATATGGGGATGAGTCGGGTAATTGGGACATTAGTATCCACCCCGAATCCGTCCCGTTTATTTTATTATGTATTTTGTTATTTTAGTTTTGATAATTTATAATACTCAATATGTTGTCAATGATTTGATATTTTAATTTATATTTATTATTTAAAATATTTAAAATGTATGAATGAAATTTTTTGAGATTTTTTATTTTATTATTTGTATGTAAATTGATTTTGAAAAATAAATATTTTTATTAAAAAATTAATTTTACTAAATAGATGGTGGCATGGCGGGATACGTGAACCTTACTTGAACCTGTTTGAAACAAGTTTAGGTTTTAATTCTCTATCTCCGATGGAGATTGGAGCGAGAAAAACAGACTATTTTGCAATTAGAGTTTGCATTTGGAGAAGTAAAAATTGTCTCTGATCCGTCTTATTTTCATGCATACTCCTCGTCCCAACTGAAGTGATACGTGTGAGAATTGACTTTGTGATTATTCAAGTTATTCATAGTCCCACTTATTTTAAAAAAAATTTGATCTAGCCTATAAAATTAGAAGTCATTAGCTAAGAAATGATATGAATTTCATAACTTTGATGTATTACATGCATAAAAAAAATCTATGTATAGAGGTGAAAATAAAATTATTTTTTTGAAATTTTTGCCTTTCATTTTTGACTTGCTTGCAATTATTTGTTTAGAATGAATTAGATTCCTTGTGTTGTAGTGCATATAAATTATTCATGTTCCATTTGTTAGATTTGTATTAGTTTGGTTGCCAACATGCTCAACAAATGGTGTAAAACAATATACTCCCCCCGTTTTGGTTGTCATGCTCTTACATGCAATTAGATAAATAAAAAAACTCTCCCCGTTTTAAAATAATTTTTGTTTTAGCAAATAAAATTTATTTTAAAATAACTATTATTTTCACTTTTCAATGTAACAATGATTACAATATTTCAATTGTATCATTTAATTATTATTCTATACACTACTTCTAATATATTAATAATGTTAGTTTAGTAAAAGTGTAATACTTTATGATCACATTATTACATTTTTTAATCTGTGAAAATTTTTTTTAAACAATAGTCATTTTAAAACAGAAGGAGTAATTAGAAATAACATTAATAATTGTAACCTTGGTAACTTTGGTTGTCACCTTTTCAAGAGAGCGTTAGAGTATAAACATTATTTTTTATGAATTTTATTACATGTATAATAAATTCTTAATTTTTTATTTGTCTAATCTATATAATCATGATTATCCTAATATGTCAAAGTTAACAGTTGTGTTAAATTAACTCAGTTCGAACCCATAATATTTCACTTATTCATCTTTTGAAAAAAATGAATTTCAATCAGAAAGCTATTTGACAAAAAACTGACAACAAATCATAACTGTTAATTTGATCTTAATGATTCATATTTATTGTTAATGAGGTGCATGATAACCATATTGACTTTTACCAATAATGTAATTAATTAATAAAAATCTTCACTCTAAATAAATGATATATTTAAAATATAAAAAAAGTTTAGTTTTAAATGCATTTTTGATCCCTTCTATTTAGGTGTTTTAAACTTTTGGCCCTATTACAAAACATAGTGTTTTTGTCCCTCAATTTTATTTTTCTTGTGATTTTTTTTGGTCCCCTCCACTTTTGCACATGTGGTACTTTCAATTATTTAACATGACATTTCTAATGTGTTGTCATGTCACCTTTTCTTTCAATTTATTTTAATTAAAATCAAATTTTTAAATTATATAGACGAATCCCCTAACATACTTACAACGACCTGATGTACTACTTCCACCTCTAAAGGGTTAGACAACACATAAACCATTCATTTGTTATGTTTGTGAACAACCATGTATTACAAATCCACTTTATCAATGTAATAAATCAATGATATTTGAAACTCCTACTCGAAACAATGTAAAAACGAGCCAACAACAACGGAGAAATATCCAACCTTAGGTTTAGTTTCAATAAGGTTTCCAAACCCACCCAAACAATATATGGTGTCATCTAGTTATGGTCGAGGCTAGACCTGTTAAGGAAAAACTGTTGTATCCTAACTTCATATTTGATACAATTAAGAGGTATCTTGTAATACAACTTAATCCTATGGATTTATGAGTCTTTAGGAAGCTTTATCTAAATAGGATGGAACAATTTTAGGAATGCTTTGTACCTTCAAGGATCAAATTGCAAATCAAGAAAAGTCGTACAAAACATTAGTCTAAAGATTCCTTTAATAATATAGAAGGAATTATTTGAAAGTGGTTTATTCAATAGGAAACTATTTGGAAGATACCTCACCAAAGAGGAAATGGTTCTGAAAGATCAACTCTCTTATCAAATGATTCAAAAAGAATTTAGTTTGATTCTCTATCAAAGGGGAAGAATCTAAAAAGTTCCTTATGGTTTAGGGTAAATTACTTGGTAGATAATAAACTAAAAAAAAATCTAGTTATTCCTCTAACAAGGGCTTATTTAAATGCTTAGTCCATTCAGTTATTCCTCCAACAAGTGTTTTAACAAAGAGGGTATGCAACTAAAGAAAATGAGGTACAAAAAGAAAATCCAAGTCAATATATCTCAAAGCCCAAGAGAACTTTTATTGCTTTATTGCTTTATCGTAATCAAATTTTTTTCTTCAAATTTAATTATAATTTTTTTTCTTCCTAAATGTTTGATATATGTGGTCTATGTGTTGGTTATTTTTATGCTTTTTTTATAATGTCAAAGGGGGAGAACTATACTCTTAAGGGGAGTATAGTATACTATATTAATCTATTAGGGAGAGTTAATCACTACAATATTTATATCTACCGTGTTTTATTTTTCCACATCCATGTGAAATGCATTGTCATCACCAAAAAGGGGAAGAATGTAGATCTATGTGCTATGCAACTATAACCGTGATTTTGATGATGGAAATTGTCAAGTACAATCTTAATGATGACAACTGTAACAACATTATTGATGATGACAACATCTTAAGTCAAACGACTTTTGTTGTTAATAGCTCTTTCAAGAGATCTTTGTGAAAAATATCAAAAAAGGAGTTGATATCAACTATCTAGCGGTTTATAATGATGACATCTAATCAAGAAGATATATCTTAAGCTTAATCAGTAAGATGTATTCAAGTTACAATTGAAGTGCTAGCTAATATTGAATAAAGCAAAAGAACTTGAAGATCTGAAGAAAGTGAGAAAGTGTGAAAACCTATATGCTATTATGCTTAGTGCTTTAGACTGGTTAATTAAATTGTAAAAAGGTCAAAATTATGTCTTGAGGTACTAAAGCAACACACGCGCGCGCGCGCGCACACACACACACACACAAACACAGAGCTTTTAAAACCTCTATTCTTTTTTGATAAAATGTCTTAAAACCTTTACGAGCACACAATACATTGAATAGTAGCTTAATTGGTCAATTAAGAAGGTATTTTACCCCAATTAATCGATTAAGGGTTTCCTTCAATCGATTAAACTTAATTGTAACACCTTTTAATCAACTAAATGAGCTATTAACCGATTAGATGACATTGAAACTCAAACTTTTTTATATTTGAGTTGGTTAGTCTATTAACACATAGGATTAATCGATTAAATCATTAAAATGGCTCATTGATCATTTTCTTTTTAGTCAATTTTTTTCATCTATAAAGGAGGTTTCTCCTCATTTTATTTCACACAAGTTTTCTGAATAGAAACCTTCTACTATTCTTTCTACTTTATTTTCTTCTGTAACTTCTTTTTTCACTAGAGTTGCCTTAGTGACAAGAGGGTGAAAAAGTTCATTCTGAAAGTTGTGTTGCACTGGTGTTATGCTGAATTTTATTCGATAGTGTGATTCTCTTATGTAATATTTTTGTAAAAGGTTTGACGATTTTAAGCTAAAACAAAAAAAAAAGTTTGGGATAAGGTTCTTGATCTAGTCTGTGTAAAAGCTATGTTTGTTGTTGGAATGTTTGTGGGTTGATTCTGTGTAAAAGCTCAAATTGTTGTTGAAGGTTGTTTGGGATAATCTTGTAAGAAATCAAGTTTATTTTAGTGGAAACTCTTGAGGATTGGAGTAGACAAAATAGTTTAGACCAGAGCAAGATAAACCTCTGGTGCAATCTTTTTATCCCTTATTTCTTTAAATTTTAGTTATTTATTTATTTTCTGCTGCATCTTTCTTCTTTCCATTATTGTGTTGCTCTGTTTGTTTGCTTATATTAACATAGACATTTTTCAGATTCAAAATTTTTATAAATTATTTTTGAATTTTAAAAATTACAATTCACTTTCTATTTTTGTGTTTAAAATCACTTGTTCAACAGTAATAAAAATAAAATACAATTACGTAAAATATATCATGTGAAATACGCATCTTTTCATATTTTGACACCTTAGTTGAGTAACTCTCCCCTATTTCTTTTAGTGGATAGATAAGAATTTGCCTTCATCTAAGAACAAAGTCACTTATTCATTAATTTCTTCATGATAGATCATAACTTAACTTATAAGTCTGAATATTTAGAATTTCAGACAATTTTATTACATAGTCACTTATTCATACATTTAATTAACAAGCTACTATATAAATAATTAGGCTATATTACCATACTTTGCCTTATACTCTTTCCATAACTGATCAACTGTCTTCCCCAAAAGCTGAACAAATAATTGATCACTATAACCACTCCTCATCAACTTATTCAACTTTGCCACAAATCCATTTTTTAAATGATCACAATAATCCAAAAAATGAGCAGTAACATCATAACCATGATCCCATTTATCTCCTTGTCCAGCTTTAACCCAATGACTAGGTGCATAATTTGCTTTCAATCTCACATAATCTGCTATACCTTCAATCAATCCACCATCACCTTGACCATTTCCATTCCACTGCCAAACATGTGTCATTTCATGATATAATACTCCTGTAATTTCTTTTCTCACGTCACCGTTGTAGCCATTAACGTATCTTGCACTAACATGAATCTCATTACCGCTTGTAAACGCAACTCCATCCATGTCGTCGATGAATAAACTCACTTTCTGCACGTTCTTCCGGTTGGTAGGGTTGTTTTGTTGGAACACTTTCCATATGAATCGTGTGGCAGAGTCTAGAGTTTGTGTCGCATTTTGATCTCCTATTTGATCACGAAAACGTATTCCACCTGATAATATTAGACGTAAAATTATACAGAAATAACAGACAAGCAAACGGATAACAAGTTGCATGCGCTGCTATCCCTAGCGCATGTAAAATTAATTTTACTTTGTATCAACAACTTGTATTAAAAATATTAATAATACCTGAAGTAGAGAGAGCAGTGTTGGTGACAGTGTAATCAACTGCTTGTATTCCATGTATTATAGCAAGGAGTGCTAAGAAAAAAGAGAGGATATGCATGATTGTGTTTATGTTTATTTAGAGTTTTCAGGTTAATTTCTATGTTTGTGGTTTAGTGCACTAGAATTAGTGCTTTATATAGAAAGAAAAAGAAAAGTAAGCAAGTGGTTGAAACTTTATGATGTACCACAAGACATTTTTTTCCACACTAAACCACATTTAAGAATTTTGAGTGCGTTTCACTCCAACGCAAAAAGTAAATTAATACTCTTAATGGATTAGCCTCTAACTATTTTTTTTTTCCTTTCTCCGTATACCATCTTTTATGATTTATTCTATTTTTCTTTACAAGAATGAGCGTATGTGTAGTGTTGAAAAAAAGGTATAATAATATTTTATATATTTCCTCCTAAATAAAAATGTCTGTGCTAAATAGAAAGGACCATAATTTCTATGTAATAATTCTTCTCTTGTATGTATGGCTGTTAACTTATTTCACTCCAATATTATGTTAACACTAAAACAGTTTTTTTAACCCAAAAAATTCCTAACAATTTTTCAACTATTTTTTTTTAATTAAGAAATATGAATTATGTTGGGCCGTCTCAACCCCAAGATAAGGAAGGTCTAATGCCACCCATGGTATAAATACTCAATAATGAAGGAGAAAAATGGACGATTTTTAAGATCCACTTGTTTTTCATTATTTAAGAAACGAGGTGTTGGAATGCTTATCTTGTATGCTCATCTCGTGCAACTGCATCAGAGCAGTTTGAATCTCTGTGCGGGAGATATGTATCATCAAAACGAATAGTGACGCCGTCTGTGAGAATCGACTTTTAATTTTTACAAATTTTCACATCCAAATTTCTTATAATATCAGATCGTATCTAGTTCAATCAGATATTCTGATCCAAGATCCTAACCGCTTTACTAATACGCTAATGCGAAAATAACTTTAAATTTCCTTCTGGAAACTCTTGGACTTTAGATCAAATCCTTCCTCGGTCTGCATTGTGGTCACGATGAATGAAGATCCATATTAGCAGATAAAACCTCTTCATTTCAGAACTGACAAACCTCTCCCCTCGGGTGAAGAACAGAGAAAAGATAGACTAATGTTAGGATTTAAAGACCACGAGAAAATGGATGGAACCCTGCACACTATTCTTCTGTTAATTATCACCCTAACCATTGCATCTACCATTGTAGGTCACTTCATCTCACATATTCTTGTAGACTACGGGAGTTTCAGTAATCTTATTTGTTCAGAAACTCTCACTAAACTCGGCATGAAGGAGCAAGATATGAGACCATATCAAGGATTGAACCTCCCACGTTTAACGAATCTTCTACTTATTCATCTTGATAGGTAACTTTGTCTTCCGTGTGTTAGCTCACAAGTTCGACACCTCATATATATAGATTAAAATATTTAAATAAAATATTAAAGTCTTTTGAGAGGTAAAGAGGTTTTCGAAGCCTTGAGACCTTCGATTGGGAAGTCAAATATTGTGGGACTTAGAGAAAATTCTGAACCTTAAAAGAAGTAGCCTTCGACCGAGATGCTGGCTGGAGATTAGTGAATTTTTTGAAATTCAAATAATGGATGGAGTAGTTATGCTTTCCTATGACTAAGAGGGACAAGTGGCGTTCGTTTGGCAAAGGACTTCAAGCATTATGACACTTGTCGAAAGTTGATGGCTTTAGGAGGTTATTGGTAGTCATTTCTACTATTATAAATAGGAGTTTTAGACATAGAATTCAGTGTGTTGTAATTTACTATTTCTACAAGTCACTCCTAAATTTACTCAAAGTATTCGAGTGTAGAGAAAAGAGTTCAAGGAGAATGTACGTTATGTAAACACACCATCTTTACTTTCAATGAAGTTTAATTTACTTGCTTAACTTTACAAAGCTTTCCTTTACTTTTTTCTACAATCTACCCCCTTCTATGCACTTTAATTTATCTTCGTCCTAAATCCCTTTCTAAGATCTCTATCTCTTTCCTTCTAAATTTCTATCTTCTCTTTCGCTTCAGTCGAACAAACACCTTTATGATTAAAGCCTTTTTCTAAATACTGTCGAAGTGTGTAACTTAGATAGATTTCAAAACATAAACCTTTAGCACATGTCCTAGGATCAATCTGATTGATCCTGTGAGTCACCAAAGTTAGATTTGGAAGATCAACGGTTGTTTTCCATTTTTCAAGGGAAACAAAATGGCATGCCCAGTGGGACAGTGCTAAAAGATTTTTTTTTCATATAGTTTTGCGAAAATTTGCAAAACTGCAGTTTTATTTGTCTTTCCTAAAAGATTCGTTATATGTTACTAAGAAGTGGAAAAATCGTTGCTATAAACGAAGAAAGACCAAGAAGAGAGTATACTAGGGACATGGCGACAAATACAAATCAGCCAAACAACCCTAATCCTCGAGGAGATGGTTCTAACTCTCAGCCGAGCACCATTAGTCCTCACAAAGGATTGAGGAATAACGTGGTTCCACCTTCAATACCTTCGACCGGAGAGCAAATAGTACCTCCTGCAAGACTGGAACCCGTATCATCAGTGTTGGGGCCTGGGTCAACAAGCATGAGGACTTACACCCAACCGGTGTTGGAATATATTAGACCTCAAGCGTCGAATCTCCAGACTCTTCTAGGAGGAAATTCGACGTCTAGACAATTTGTCCCTCCTGGATTTTCATAACTATTACAAAGAAACCCTCCATATGGAATGCCAACAACTGTGATGCAGGGCCTCCAAAATGCTCCTCCAATATTCTCAGACAATGTAATGGCTTCGCCATTACAAGGATCAAGGTTTGGGGTGAACATTGGTCGAAACCCCCAAAGTTTAGGCTTGGGATATTCCACACAAGGCCCTAATCTAACCAATACTTCGGTTGTGTGTTTGAGACAACAAATGGATGAAAGTAACTTGCAAATGGTTCAAACCTTGTCTCAAACCATGGACGAAATCTTTAAACCTTTAATCCAAAATACTACCCAAACCAACCAACAATTGGCAGTATAAATAACACGACTGGCTGAATTTATGTGTGTACCACCTGCTGTTAGGAACACGGCTACTATGGAAAACATTCCACAACGGGACTTAGGAAACCTACATGAGCCCAACTTAGAGAATCAAGATAGGGTCGAAGTCCCCAGGCTCGAACCTCATAGAGTCGAACCACCAAGGGATCAAATACCAATCCCAGGAGAAAGGGACCCATGGGTAATCATAGTAAATCGAAACCAAGATGCAGACAATGTTGTCCAACAGGTTCGACATAATAACGTAGCTGCCGATAACAACTTATCAACCATGGTCGAAAGAATAATGGCTCGAAATGGGGTAAACACTGGGTTCACTTGGCCAAATTACACATCGACAATAGTGTATTACATCCTCCAAGCAGAATTACCTCCTAGGACGAAAGTGCCTAAATTCACTAAGTTCTCAGGGGATACGACGGAATCTACTGTCGAACATGTGGCTCGTTATATAATCGAAGCCGGAGAGATAGCTAATGATGAGAGCCTTAGGATAAAATACTTCCCTAGTTCCCTCACTAAAAATGAATTTACATGGTTTACGATGCTACCCCCTAACTCGGTTTGTAATTGGACCCAGTTAGAACGTTTATTCCATGAACAATTCTATATGGGGCAAACTAAGATTAGCCTAAAAGAACTAGCTAGTGTGAAACGTAAGTTTTATGAGCCAATAGAAGAGTCCCTGAATAGGTTCCGACTACTCAAGGCTAGATGTTTCACTCAAGTACCTGAACATGAGTTGGTCGAAATGGCCGTAAGGGGCCTCGACTACTCCATTAGAAAGAAATTGGACACCCAGTACCTAAGGGATATGGCTCAATTAGCTGATAGGGTCCGACAGTTAGAGCGTCTTAAAGACGAAAAAACCAAATTCAATAAAAGCAAGAAAGTAGCTTATGTCGAATATAATGAAAACGTCGAAGGTGTACGGGAAGACTCATTATACTTCGACGAGAACGAAGTGGATGTTGCTGAGCTTAAACAGGATCCTCCCTACGCTTGTAAAGTATTGGCTCCCCCACTTGGAAAGATTTTTGTCGAATCTGAAAAGAACGACATATTCCCAAAGAAAACATATACTTTCGACTTCACGAAATGTGACGAAATTTTTGATTTGTTAGTTAAGGATGACCATTTGATAGTACCATCTGGTGCTAAAATGCCATATTTAGAGCAAAGGAAAAAGAGAGGGTTTTGTAAATACCATAATTTTTTTGGTCATAAAACGTCTAAATGTTTTCTTTTCAGGGATCTGGTTCAAAATGCTATCCAAGAAGGAAGATTGAAGTTTGGGGAAAAAGCCAACACCCAGATGAAAGTCGACGCATACCCTCTACAGGTAGTGGATACCCACTACACGGAGCCCACAGAGGCACATGTGGTCGAAGCTACTGATGGCTACGATTTCTCAATCAATATGTTAGAGGTTATGGATGATTTTGTTACTAGAGCTGTAACGACCAAGATCACTATGGGTTTTGGACAAGAGAATTAGTGGAACGAGGTTACTAATGGCCTTGACCAGGGTGTTGATGATCCAAGTCAAAAAGATACAAAGAATTCAAGCTTGGTAATGGTGACCATGGAAACTGCTGATAGTTTCATTAAGATGGACCAGGCCACTAAAGGCCTGGAGCGGGACCTAAGTAAGCTCAATCTGAGAGAGGACGTTGACGTGAATATGGTGGAAATAACGCCATATGACACCATGGAGGATAATGAATCGGGTTGTCAGGAAGAACACAACAAAATAGCTTATCCGGGACACGAAGAGTCCATTGTCGAATTCCTCCACCGCTGCCAAAAGAAGGGATCCAGTGTCATGCTGTGTCCCAAATGTAGTGTTATCTTCGACGTGAAGGCTGCCCAGAAACTCGAAGGGACACGCAAATCAAAACAAAAGAGGGAAAAACCTAGCTTCGACCCTCGAGGCAGTATCCCTAGAAAGTCTGAACCTAATAATAGGGTTCTAAGAGCCAAACCTACTACCTTCAAGC